CTTTCCAAAATTATATTATTTGACATGAAAAACTATATTTGAGCCCATATTTTGTTAAAATAAAAGGCAACTTCCTATAAGAATGACATATTTCTGTAAGTAGAGAGACTGAAATGTACGGCTGATAAGAAACTGGATTCCATTTTTCTCCCTAGCTTTCTGCATAGCAACATCAAAGTGCCTTCTTAAGGACTCTTTTCTGGCAGTTCATTAAAGTTGATTCCAGGGCAGCAAATCATTGTCAATTGTCCTTTAAACTTGTTACAGATCACCCAGTGCAATGATGTAAAGATTTATTAGGGTACCCAGAGGAACAAAAAAATATGAAACTGACCATAAAGGACAGGAATGTTTTAATATTTCATCCAAAACAAACCATCCCTTTGAAAATATTATGCACTATTCATGTGGTCTTGAAAAATAAGAGATAAAACGGGTTCATATAGGAAACTCACTTGTTTCTTAAAGTGCTCTGCTACCAGGCTTAAGGTGAAAGCTACTTACCTTAAGAAATAAAAATGCAGTTATATCTTACCTCCAGCATATTTTTCTATAGGGTGTTGAATTGTAAGGCAGTGGTCTAAAGTGGATATAAACTCTCTAAAACCAGCTTGCTCTATCACAATCACATTTTCTTGGATCAGCCAATCCTCAAGCTTTACCAGAAAGTGTTTGGCATTTGCCCCCATAGCCGGAATAACGAGACGGACAACAGTTTGGATCAAACAAAGGCCGCTTTATTAACTATATACAATTTATTAACAGCAACCGGCAAGGGAGCACTTCCTAGGTAGCGGAACAGACAAGGCAGGTGTCAGACTGACCAGCCTCCTTGTCTGACACATGGGCGAGTCACCAACCCCGGTCCTGGGCCATTAATCTGGCTTGCGACCAGCAGGCCAGCCACAGGTAGCCTCCCGGGAGCGCCTACCCCCGAAACCTTACAGCCTGCAGAGAGGAGCTTACCCAAGAGGCCCCCATAGGGAATCCTCATTCACAACCCAGGGCCTTAATAACCCACAGGCTGTTCCTGAAGACCCCCCAGTTCCCAAACACGGGACGGCTTGAGGTGTTCACCATTTCTGCTTCCTTATCTCTGCCCTATTCTGCAAAAGTGACCAGCCTATTTAAACAGCCACGCCCCTACCCATTGTTCCACTGCTCCAGTGTAAGGTAGGCGAAAACACTACCACCCCATTGCCAATCGTGGGTAGTAGCAAAAAATTCCTACCTGGCCCCCAATGGGCGGCCAGCCTCAGCCTACACTAGAAAAAACAGGGCGGGCAGGCGGGCGAGCACAAAGCAGCGACTGGCTTAGGGTGTGAGCAGAGCAGAGCCTGGCCAGGCTGGCTCCGCCCACCCCACGTCCCAGTGCTCTGCGCCGGGACGCTGTTGCCATCCCGCCTTCCCCGCGGCGGCAAACCAGCCCCCGGCCGCCATTGCCTTCGGCAGCAACCGGGAGCTCCCTTCTGTCTAGTTTCTGAGATCTCACTTATCCATTTTCAAGTTTGTTACTGCATTAATAAGGACTAGAAGCTTGCTTTTAAAGATATATTTGTATGACAAAATGTCTAAGCTGAATTTATGTATTTATTTAGTACATTCAGTACAATGCACATTGTTTTCCTGTCTTCCGTGAACCCAGAGCTGTTAGAGCGTAGGCAAAAGAGAGTCCGTCACGAGATGCAGGAAAGGAGATGAAGTGCGCAGTTAGCATCCCAGAGACACCTGGGTCCAAATAGTAAGGAGGAGAGCGTGTACACCTGCATAATGCAACCCAGCTGCGAGACTGTCAAAAGTTCCTTGTACCAACCCAGGGTAAGAACTTTTGGTACAAAGGGTTGCAGCAAATCAAAGTTACAAAATACCAGAGAGAGACTAAAGTGTGCGGACTCTAATCTGGGAGAACTGGGTTTGATTCCCCACGCCTCCACTTGCAGCTGCTGGATGACCTTGGGCAAGACAGTTGTGGCAGAGCTGTTATTGAAAGAGCTCTCTCAGCCCCACCTACCTCACCAGGGGGTCTGTTGTGGGGAGGGGAAGGGAAAGGAGTTTGTAGGCTGCTCTGAGACTCCGCTCTGAGTAAATCCAATTTCCTCTCCTCTTCCTCCTCCTCCTGTTGCTGCTACTGCTGTTGTCTTGGTAGGCGTCACCAGTCCTTTCAGTCTATCCCAACAGCCTAGGAGGGAAAGGACAAGTCTCCCGACTTCTCAGGGAACTAACAAGAAAAGTCAGCCCTGCAGAGCAGGACTGCAGACTGAATTTCCAAACACAAAACAGTTAGCTGGCAGGTGGTCAAAGGCCAAGGCTCTGGAAGAAGTCTTTGAGGTCAATGAAGGCAAAATCAATAAGATAAAAATATAGTTATTTATTTAAAGTACAAAAATATATTAAAAGAGGCAAGACTGTGAAGGGATAAAACAAATCTAAGCATATCCAATACATCGAGTCAAGGTTCATTGGTTCATCTCAGGCAGTTAGTTCCAGTAATCCAAAAATATCCAAGAGCATAGCCCTTCCTGAGCAAGCAGTCAAGATGGATGCCAGTAGAACAAACAGCTGTGTAACCACTGACATGCTTCAGTGCCAAGAGGTTACAAAGCCAGCCATATAGTAAAGGCTAACTAGATTTATAGAGCGGGTGATTGACCTCAGAAACCTGAGAGATGATGTAATTCTTTTGATGTTGCTAAGCATGTGATGCATAAGGAGATGGACTGTGGTTAGGCTTTGCCTCTCTTTCCCAGAGGTGCCCATAACTTTACTTGCCTGGAATGTGCTAATTGGAAGACTGAAGTAAAGTGGTACTCCCTAACACAGCTGCAAAAAACTTAGCTGGCAAGGTCACTGTGCTCTGTCTCTAACCGTCCCTGGGAAGATTTCTGTAGGCCTCACTGCAGCCTGAACCAAAGATTTTATCTCTCTCAGCAAAGCAAGGAACCATTTTTCTTTACAGAGACAAGAGAAGGAGAGACCGGCCGTGGAAGCCATGTAACCCTAACCCTGTCTGCTCCGGGAAAGCTTGCTTCCACCCCCGCATTCACTTTCACAGAATGGAAGAGGCAGTGGCTGCTCCAGAGAGTCTTGTTGCACTTCAGGCACAAGTACTCCAACTTACCCATGCCTTGGCTGCACTTCAGCAGCAACACGCTGCTGCTCTCCATAATGCGCCTGCCTTACCTTTACTGGAAAAATGTCCAGTTAGTTCTCCTGAGAAATCTGAGGGCAACGTGGTAGAATTTCCAGCTTTTTTGGCCCGATGTCAGCTTTACATGGAGCTACATCACCACTGATGAAGTGAAAGTTTGCCTTGTGCTCAGCCTCCTAAAGGGGCAGGCGGCTAAATAGGCTACACCACTATTACTGTCCAAGTCTCCTTCATTGAAGAATTTTCTGAACTTCATAGTTGAGAATGCCAGTCAGAAGAAACAGTGAAAGGAGACTGTTACAAAATATACTACAGAGTTTCAGTTGTTGGCACAGGATTTGGGATGGAACAAAGCCGCTTTAATTTATCAGTATCTCGATGAAATATTGGATGAAGTTGCTTGTGTAGAGCACCCTACCACTCTTCTGAATTTGATACTGCTCTGTCTCCAGATTGATGGACAGCTGCAAGCAAGCACCTGGACCCATCCTCAACAGGAATTCAGTAAACCAACACCTGCTTTACTAAGCCACCTACCTCCAGGGACTTTTACAATAGAGGAAATTGAGTCCATTTAATTGGGAGCTGCACACCCTTGTCTGTCAGCTAAGGAGAAGAACAGGTGCCATTCCAAAAACCTTTGCTTGAATTGTGGAGGAGCAGGACATTCTGCCAACAGCTACCTCGAGAAACGGAAACCATGTGCGTCAGCATTAAACAACCAGCCCCAAGCCAGCTTGGGGTATTTTGTCAGGTCCAGTGGCACCTCCCACAACCACCCTGGACCATTCTTGGTCCCCATAAAACTCCACCTACCTGATACACGCTGGCTATTAAGTGTATGCTATGATTTACTTTGGGGCTGCCCATTGCTTTTGTCATGATCTGGGCTGTGCCACCAGAGGCCTACTTGGCCCAGGGAGCCTGGCTAGCAGTAGGTGAAGCTGGGCCTACAACTCCCAGAAGCCCTGAGAGGTTTTGGAGCCAAAATTGACCAATAGGGAAGAAGAGGGCTGGGGGAACAAAAGAGCTGGTGCCAGAGCAGAAGCTGTTCTTCCTTCCAGATGGCAGAGCCAGAAGGAAGGCTGCTGCAGGAAGAAACCCTCATCCTGAGGGAAGGGTGAGTATTCTAGTGTCACTTGGAATAGTGAGCTAGGGACAGTATAGGGCATTTGTTAGGGCATTTGATTTCTTTTCTTTTCACCCACTTACTGTTATTATTCTGCACCTTGTTGTTTGACCTCCTATAAAATAAACCTTTTCCTTGTTTCACTCTGCCTGGTCCTCACGCCTGTTATTTGGCCGAAAGGGAGGTCTGAAGGTCGTGGGAGGGTGCTCTGGGCCTTCTCAAGGGATCCTAAATCCAGAGTGGTGGCAGCGTCAGGTGACACCCCACCTGAACCGTGACATGGTGGCTGTAGTGGTGGGATGAACTAATTTTGGACCCTGGCATTTGGCTTTGGCAGAAAAAAATATATATTTTTTGCTTTTGGGCTTAAGGAAGCCCCATTGTTTGAAGGTACTTGCAAGACCAAGTAAGGGTCTGGTAAGGTGTGGTGAAAAGGTTTTCTTTACGCTCTAGCTGTTGGGTGAACTGGATATTGAGGAAGAGTTAGATAGTGCATCTTCCTCCGATCTGGGAAAGGGACACGCTTGTTGCCAGATGCAAGACCTGAATAGGGGCTGCAGCTCTCGTGTCAGTGGAGGACACATCAGAGAAAGCAATGGCATCCCTCAGTGTAGAGACCTTGCGTCTCCAGCTGCAACTTAAGCAGGCAGAGCTGGAGTTAGAGAAAGTAAGGCTGCAGAAAGAGAAGGAAGAGAGAGAGAAGGCAGCCCAGAAAGAGCTGGAAAGGTACAAAATACTGAAGGAAGAGAGAGAGAAGGGAACCCAGAGAGAACTGGAGAGAATGAGGATGGTGCATGAGCTGGAAATGGCAAAGTTGAGAAAAGAGCCACCTTCACTTCCTCCAGATTCTGATGTACAAGGGGATAGAAGGAAGTATCCTTTGTATAAGGAAGGCTGGAGTGGGTTGTGGAAGGTAGCTGTGCACGATTATACCATGTTTGTGGGGGAAGATTTAGCGGAGCAGATGACTGTGGAACCCAGAGTCCATGAACCTGAGATGGCAGAAAAGGAGGCCAATCCAGAGGAAGATGTCTACCTGCAGTTCTTAAAGGACTTTGAAGATATTTCTGAGCAACCCAGCCAGCAAGTTGACGTCTACCAGCAGTTCTTAAATGATTTTAAATATGTTCCTGAGGAACCAAGCTGGCAAACTGATGTCTGCATATGGGTGTTAACCCGTCATCGGTCTGAGAAGCAGCAGCAAGGTGAGCACACCCCGGCAACTTCTCCAGACCCTGTTGCAGAGCCGATGGTGGTAGAGTCTCCTCCAGTGACTCTGACTGCATTCCAGAAGGATCAAGGAGGACGCCAGCACGGAAGAAGTCCGTATCAACTTTGATTCCATGATCTCATCTAATTTGGATTACTTTCCACGCAACTATGCTGCTCAAACCAGTGAACAACAGCATCAGCAACTGGAACCGAACACTACTGGGAAAACTGAAGAGATGGCATTTCCACAGCCCTTGGAAAGTAGTTCCACAGCTGGAGCAGAAAAGCCAAGAGTTGTGAAGCCACCTGAACATTCCACAAGATGAGACTCTGGACCTATTGCAAAATGTTTTGGATAAGAGGGAATGTTTTTCCAGTCATCCCCATCATCCCCCCAATGTATTTTTTATGCCACTTGGCTGAGTTATGTTTGACAAAGAATTTTTTCCAGTTTCAAGGGCAATTTATTTTGGCAAATCTCAGGTATAGCCATGTGGTGTAAATTTGCTTCAGGATTAGCAGACTTGTTCATCGGCAGATTAGAAAACACCTTCATCCTCCAGAGGTATAATATTTATAGGGAGAGCATCATTCTATATAAAAGGGTTTTGGATGTTATTTTCATCATTTGGAAAGGTTCAGAGGAGATCCTTATCCAGTTTGGGCACTATATTAACACTATACATCACAGTATTAAATTTGAAATGCTATATGACAGGTCTAGGATTAACTTTTTAGATGTTTTGATTAAAAAGGAAGGCACTGAATTACATACTGATGTTTTCAGAAAACCCACAGATGCTAACTCTTTTTTAGCCGGTGATAGTTTCCACTATATACCTTTTTTCTAAAATTTAGGAGACTTTTTCATTTGCAGTTTTTTAGTTATATGCTTTATGTGTATTTTAGATCCATGGGTGTATGAAATATTGTACATCTTGAAGAGTTGCCCATGTTGCATCTTATGAATATTTATCACCAGTACTCCACAGGTGAACATCTCAGTGTAAGGTAGTTATCCCAATTCCATATATTTCAAAATATTTAATTTTGATATAGATTATTATTTTTCTCCTCTCCTCCTCTTCCATTTTAGATCCATTCTGTGTAAGATGAGTTTTATGTATATTTTTGTTAAATTTATGGAGTGCTTAGTTTGAATTTTACCACTGCAGAAGGCTTTTATCCAAAACACGTTTGGTATTGGTTGTTGTGTATGGATATAATTTATACATTTTAACCTGTCTTAATATGATTGGACATTTGTCTTTATATTAGGATTAAGTACTTATATGCAGAACCATAGGATTGTGGTTTTTAAATGATATTTTAGAGCTTTTGAATATATAATTAAATTATATATGATATTTTGTATATTAGCACTATGTGCGTAGCTATATTTTAGTTTTGTTATTTTTTCTCAACTTTTTTGGTTACCAGACTGGGAGTCTAGAGCATCCACGGTGGTGGACAGGTTATCCTAGATAGCATCTATGCTTGAAGGCTTAGAACTTCTAGGTGGAATATATGTGCTCACTCAGAGAAGAGATCCTACGTATTTTCCTCATCTCCAGTACCTGGATATGATTCTGGGTGCTACTGTTCAGGACCTGGATGTCAGCCTTGGTGTCAGCTGAGACAAAGATTACTAGATGCCCACTAGCACAACCTTTAGTGTGGGTTTTAACAGCAGGCACAGCAAATGCTTGGAAGACCTGTTGAAATGGGGGGCTGTTCTCCTGAGACCAAGTTTCCTAAAGACACAAGATGTCAGATTTTTGCAGAAATGAAAGGAAGTTTGAATCGTCGAGTTTATTCCCCCATTCTATTAGATTCCAGGAAAGAAGGTATAGTAGTCAGTCTAGCCACTCGATCCTATTCAGTTCTCCATTGGGGCCAACTTGAATGGATCCATTTTTGAATGAGGGCACTGAAGCTAAAGTAGAAGCCTTGCAGGTTGGGCCCACTGGATGGGACACTGTTGTACCAAGCTCATGGCCTTCTAGTAAACTATTAAAGCACCCTTCTTCATGGATTAAAAATGTTCTAAGGGGTTGGATGAAAACATATTCATTGTGTGGAATTGATCCATCTTCTGTAGGAACAGCTTCTGAGGGTTTAAAAATTCCTGGGGGGGTTACTTGGGGCCATCTCTGCGCTAACCACAATTAGGGGAGAAATAGGGGGAATGGGGGCAAAGGTGCTGTCTTTCATATTCAAGAGCCTGGTCCTCAGCTGCTCCAGCCTGTCAGGGATGGACTTTGGCTCATTAGCTGGAAGAGCTGGAAACAGCTGATTAAGGATCACTAAGTAAGATTTTGCTAGGTGAGATGTACCCTGTCTTGGACTCCATGTTAGCAGGGGGTCATCCCAGCTAATCAGATTGCTGTCTGGGGCTCTGATTGAGTCACGTTTCCTGCTATTGGTCTCGATGTCAGTTCTGAGACACGATGTCCCTGGGCTAAAGAGTGCAGAGTGTGACACATTATTAAAGACTCTGGATGGAAAGATTCCCTCAGAATTCAGGATATTTTTCTGTCACATAATCAATCAGTGATGGAATGGTTGACCAACCAAACATTAACAATAATCTGATCGCCTTATAGGAGCAGCTAAGACACTCAACTAACTTCAGTTCAGTGGGGAGATTTTGGGTATTCAACAGGGCTTTCAGATGCTGCACTACACAAAATTTAGAATTCCAGGGGGAAGTTTTATCATCCAGTAGGATAGTCAAACATATCTGATAGGGCTGAAGGACTAATTGGTACAAGTTGTTGACTCTACTGGTGGCTGAGGGCTTAGGGACCTTTTGGGGCCACTGTTTGGTGGGAACATCAACAAGGGAGTCATGCCTGTGGTGGGATCATATTAAGAGTACATTATTAGTTTCCAGCATTATACTAATGAGGTGGTCGATGTAAGAGCAAAACATTTGCCCCGATGTTCCACATGCTGTATTCACCACTAGGTCCTGGTCCTGACAATTTTTTTTAATCATCTTTATTAATTTTAAATTAATGTACAATACAGCGTAATACAGTGCATCCATCTACAAGAATGTCATCTAAATGGAAAAAGTTGAAACCTACAAGGTTAACCACTTCAGATAAAGAGGGTTAGGGGGGAGAATACCTAGAATCTGTAAGTAGGAGACTACAGGGAACCAAGTTGACACAAATGTGGAGTGGTGTGGGGTATCTGATTGTGCACACCTGAGCGAATCAGCAATTTTTGCCATGACAAGGTGTTCCCAAAGCTTGTCCTGCCAGTCTGTCACTGATGGTGCTGCTGGAGATTTCCAGTTTGCAGCAATGGCCAGGCGGGCTATTGCTAATAGAGTTGCTGTAAGTTCTTTTTTATGGTCTTGAATAGAATCATCCCAGTGGTTTAACAGAAAGGAGTTAGGCAAGAGAGAGAGATTTTGAGTTGTGATATTCTCAATTTGATGTTTCACATCCGTCCAAAACTGTTGGATCTTGGGGCAGGACCACCAGCAATGCAAGTAAGTCCCTTCTTGTCCACACCCCTTCCAGCACATAGGGCTGTTGGATCTGCTAAATTTGTGTGTTTGCTGTGAGGTTAGGTACCATCTCGAGATGGTCTTGAAGAACTGTAATTTTATATTTTAATCTTGTTGTGTTTTTACTGTAATACCTCCTTTTGCATAATTTGTTTATTACTGCTCGGGCAGCTATTATTATATTGTTATGACCTTTGGTCTTGTGCAATAAAATTCTACCTACCTACCTACCTTAACTATGCCCACTAGGACTGCTGGCTTTGGCTGGTGATTCTGCTTCCCCAGATATATTTAATAACAAATTTGCTTGTGTTATTCTAGGTGTATGCAATGAGTTCATAAGCAGCTTCACAGCTGACTACTGGCTCCACAGTTCTCTGATTGCTTTCCATAACTGTGTCCTATATCCTTTAACTAGGACTGTGGCACTGAGTTGGCCTTCTCACCCTTCTGGTTGCTTCCCAATTGATCCCTGATGGCAATACCATATGGGAGCATATGGTACTAGGCCGCAAGGCTGGCTTGTACTGGTCTTTGTTTTGTTGGAACAACACAGTTTACTGTCAGTTGGGTAATTAAACTACTAAGTAGGTCTCGGTATTGACGTAATATCCATTTTTCCACAGTCTTGTGACCAAGCATTCACAAAGCAGCCATTTATATCCAATAAATATTGAGTTGTAAAGCAGACTAATAAGGTGAAAAGAATCTAGGGCAAATAAAATCCTAAAAATAGTTAAAAGCTCTTTAGCAGCGTAAGTTTTGCCATGTTTCAAATCAAACCCTAGTCATCGTGTCTGGTTTCTTTATGTTAGCTGAACCTCTGTAATCACTTGGTAATGGATTTCCAATTTACAGGTTGTTCGGTCTAAATAGAAATGTCATCTTTGGGGAAAACACCAATTTAAATTACCTTGGACAGGTTAACATATATAAGAAAATGGGGCTTAGCAGGGAGTTTTCCTCGCTTTCTTAAAAATCCTTCACTTTGTCTAGAACATAAGTATTTATTTAAAGAATTTATATACTGCCTTTCTGCCCCAACGAGGCCCACTAAGGCACGTAATAGTTTAAAACATATGTAATAAAATTACATTTTGAAACCATCAAAATCAAAAGCCCCAATTAAAAAACAGAGTTAAAATAAATATAAAACAAGTTAAAATAAATTCAAAACATAAAAAGCATTGGTTAGGAAGGAGAGATCATTGAGGAAAAGCCAAATGAAACAAAGAAGTCCTCACCCACTGGCAGAAGATGGCAATTGAAAGGGACAAATGAATCTCCCTGGGCGGGGAGAGAGTTCCAGAGCTTTGGTGCCACGACTGAGAAGGCCCTTTCCCAGGTTACCGCCCACCTAATCTCAGAAGGAGGGAGTACCCAAAGCAGGGCCTCCAAAGATGACCATAGTGATTGGGCAGGTTCGTAAGGGATTAGGTGGTCCTTTGGGTATATCGGTCACAAACTATATATGGTTTTGAAGGTCAGCACTAGTACCTTGAATTGTGCCCAGAAATGAATTAAGCCAGTGTAGCTGGGTCAAGAATGGAGTGATATGATCCCTATGATTCATTGCAGTCAGCATCCTGGCTGCTGCATTCTGTACCAATTGAACTTCTCAACACTTCCCTAGGGCAGCCCAACTTAGAGCATACTACAGTATTCTAATATAGATGTAACCAGGGCATGCACTGCAGTGTTTTCTGCCCAGGACAAGCTACAGCTGGATAACCAGATGAAGCTAGTAAAAGGCCACCTGCATATCCAGCAGTAGGCCTGAGCACCCCCAGACTACAGACTTGTTCCACCAAGGAGAGTGCAGCCCCATCCAGAACAGGTGATAAGTTAAATCTGGGGTCAGACTTTCTGCTCACTAGCAGCACTTCCATCTTTTAAGAATTAAACTTCAGTTTATTAGCCTGCATCCATTCCGTTGCTGCCCTCAACCAAAAGCCTGGTGGAACATCTCTGCCTTACAAACCCTGCAGAATTGCATTAAGTCCCACAGGGCCCTGATGGAAGTTGGCAGAGCCAAGGCCAAGAAAGCCCTAACTCTGGTCGAGGACAGCCAGATGCCTTTGGGGCCAGGGATCACCAGCAGATTACTCTCAGCAGAGCGTAATGCTCTCCCAGGGACATACCAGAGGAGATGGTCCCAAAGATATGCTGGTCCCAGACCGCTCAAGGCCTTAAAGGTCAATACCATCACCTTGAATCTGACTCGATACTCCACTGGAAGACAGTGTAACTGGCACAGCACAGGTTGTATATATGCCATCCATGGCATTCCCATCTGATATAGATGAGTGTATATGTGCCATCTGTGGCATTCCCATCAGATAGAGATGAGCAATGTTCCATCTAAGCTGTGGAGTCTTGTGAGCAAAAATTCTACTTTGTGAGCTACTGGCATTAAAGTTGTGAGCAAGTGATCTGGCGGTTGTGTAAGTTAGGTTGCTCTGGAGCTATCCTTCCTGAGCTAAGACAAAAATGTGTGAGCCGGAGGCTAAAAACTGTGAGCTAGCTCACACTAACTCAGCTTAGAGGGAACACTGGAGAATGAGTATCATGTGCATATTGGTGACAGCCTAGCCCAAATTTATCCTGCCCTTCTTCCAGGGAGCTTAGGCATGTTTCTCCCTTTCTCATTTTATCCTCTGTGAAAGAGGTTGAGAGAGTAACTGACCCAAAGTCACCCAGCAAGCTTTGTGGCAGAGTGGAATTTGAACTCAGGTCTCCCATTATATGCTAGGCTTAACAAAAAATTAACGAATGACTGAAGATTCCCAGCAGGGTAATAGGAATCATATACGGGAACATAAATAACACTTTGGTAAATGTTTTGTATCCTATCTAAGCCTACCTTTTTTGCCTTTTAAGATATGCATTGTATTGGAAGAAAAGATTCTCTGAGCAGCCCATCACAGACTTCTGTTGTGTAATTAGAACAAATTCCAAAGCACCGTTAGGTAAGTGTGTTCTATAATAATGATCCAACACAGCTAACATTGTTCTCTTCTCCTCCATTGTATCCTCACAACAACCCTGTGAGATAGCTTAGGCTGAGTGTGTATGACTGGCCCAAGGCCACCCAACAAGCTTCCATGTCAGAGTGGGGATTCAAATCTGGGTCTCCCAGATCCTAGTCTGTCATTCTAACCATGAATCACACTTGCTGTCCATGTGAGTGGTTCTCAGTCTTACCGGTGAAGAGTCTAAAGGGCTCAAATCCAGTATTTGTTTAATCAATGCTGGCCCCTTCCTGTATGCTTGGCAGTTTGGGGTGGGAGAAGCAGCTGGAGTGATTCCATTGGCTCTGACCGTATACTCTGAAATACAAAAATCTGTCCCAGAGTTGCCCCTTTTTCTAGAGGACTCTCCCTCCAGAAGTGAATTTTGTATAAAGATGCATTGTATGAAAATATTTCAGATGCCTCTGCAGCAACAGATCTGTGGAGGAAATCATGCAAGGCTGGTTATTTTTATCCAGGATCCAACTGTGACCTACCTGGGGGTGTTTTTTTATATTTATAAATTGCCCTTAGCTATGTTTTTGTTTATTTGTCTAGTAAAATTCTGAACATTGTCATCCTCTTAAAGTGCACTCGATTTAAATGGCTACAATTTTGCTATAAATCTTTGTTTCAAAACCCATGGCTATAAAAAAAAAATAACAGAGTGTGGTGTGGTGTGTGTACCAAAGCAACAAGGGTTTTCTTGACATAGATATAATCTTTTAACAGAGGAACAGGACAATTATTTTCTTTTATGTGATGCTTTACCTGAAGATAGAACACTAAGAGAGAAGCTCCAACAGCAGAGACTGGTAAGACATTTATTTTCTGTGAGTACACTGAGATCATGAAATGTACTGTACAAATAAATTACTGAATTCCCAGATTGCCTAGTTTAGCAATAAAGCTGTTTCTCTGTCTTGCCCAATCGTAAACTTGTTGACTTAGATGAAAATCCCAGTGAATTCCATGAGGCTTACGGGTTTTTAAAAGTGTTTAGGACTACAGCCTTAGAGTAGTTTTACATCCCGTCAGTATGTTTTTTCCCACTGCATTGGTTCAAAAAGAACACCTGAAGGGAAACTTATTATTTTCATAGCCTTGGTTCACAAAAATTTGGATTTTTTCCTGGTGATCACCTTAAGAGAAGGTTTTTTAAAATTTATTCAATTATTGGAGGAAACCCAAATTCAAATCTTCACTTGAATACAAAGGTCATTGAGTGACCTTGGGCTTGTCTCTTGTTGTTCAGTCGCACAGTCGAGTCCGACTCTTCACGACCCCATGGACCAGTTCAAGCCAGGCCTTTCTGTCTACCGCCGTCCTCTGAAGTTTGCTCAATTTCATGTTCGTTGCATCTATGACACTGTCTAACCATCTCATCCTTTGCCGTCCCCATCTTCTTTGACCATCAGTCTTTCCCAGCATCAGGGTCTTCTCCAGTGAGTGCTCCCTTCTCATTGGGTGGCCAAACTATTTGAGCTTCAGTTTCATTATCTGGCCTTCCAGGGAACAGTCAGGGTTGATTTCTTTTAGGATTGACTGATTTGATCTTCTTGCAGTCCAAGGGACTCTCAAGAGTCTTCTCCAGCACCATAGTTCAAAAGAATCTATTCTTTGGCGCTCGGCCTTCCTTGTAGTCCAACTCTCGCAGCCATACATGACTACTGGGAATACCATTGCTTGGACCATGCGGACTTTTGCTGGCAGGGTGATGTCTCTACTTTTTATCATGCTGTTTAGGTTCGCCATCGCTTTCCTCCCAAGGAGCAGGCGTCTTAATTTCATGGCTGCTGTCACTGTCTGCGATGATCTGGGATCCCAGGAACGTGAAGTCTGTCACTACTTCCACAACTTCCCCTTCTATTTGCCAAGGAGTGATGGGGCCGGATGCCATGATCTTAGTTTTTTTGATGTTGAGCTTCAAGCCCACTTTTGCGCTCTCCTCTTTTATCCTGAGCAAGAGGCTCTTTAGGTCATCTTCACTTTCTGCCATTAGAGTGGTATTGTCTGCATATCTCAGGTTGTTGATATTTTCCCCAGCAATCTTAATTCCCCCTGTCTCTCTAACCAGCCTATTTCATGGGGATGTTGTAAGGATGTGGAGGTCATGTATGCAACGTTGAACTGCATAGAGGAAGGTGGAATTTTGAGAAATTAATTAAATAATGGTAACTGTGCTTGACTTGTATAGCATTTTCAGTCAGGAATGCATTATAGTTCTCATCAGACTTATCTTCTCTGTGATAACAAGGAAACAAAACATATTATTTATTCAAATTGTATCCTATCCTCCCTCCAAGAAGCTCAATGGTGACATATGGGGTTCTGTTTTATCCTCACGACAAGCCTGTGAGAATGAGAGCAGTGAGTTTCCACACTCTTTTTTTCCAGCTCCATTCCAGGCCCTCTTGCATTACTTAAATGTGAAGTATGAATGATTTCTTGCTTCAGTCTCTTTTACGGAAAGCATATACCTAGACATTCTTAATCTTGCTTCATTTGCCTGAAGCAGTATGCAGCACCTACGTATTATAATCCCTCAGCAGTAAATTGTAGCTTTTATTTAAATTGTGGTAGAAAATCCTGAGAAAGAGATACAGAAGCTCTAAAAGAAATGCTTTGGGAGACCTGTGGGGATACCTGAAAAAATATCTTGACTCACTTTAAGGTTTAAACCATTATTATTATTATTATTATTATTATTATTATTATTATTATTATTATTATTACTACTACTACTACTACTACCACCACTACTACTACCACTACTATTACTACCACTACTATTACTACTACTACTACTATTATTATTATTATTATTATTAGCTAAAATTTCCTTTGTTCAAAGAGATGCTCCCATTCCTTTAGAAAGCACTGAAAATAATGTTGAATTCAAAGGAAAGAGATTCTGTGTTTAGCAGATTGGCAATGCAATCCTAAATGGACTTAAATCCTTTTATGTCCATTTTAGTTAATGGGTTTAGAAGGGTATAACTTTACTTAGGATTGCATGGTGTGTCCCTCAGGTTTTATGCATGCTGTATCTTCACTATTTTAAGGCTTCATTTGGGGGGAGGGGGGATTTAAAATGCACTGGATTAGACCAGCTTTTTTTTTTGGTCTGTTTTTCCCCTCAAGCTGGGGGAATACTTGAACTGAATATTCAGAGAGAAAGTCATGTTTTCAAATCAGTCACAGGCCTGTTTTCACTGTTGCCCATTAGTGGATAATGAGACACAATATAAATTAGATTAGAATACCATACCATTTTCAGAAAAGCAAATGAATGAGTGTATATTTTGTGCTCACCCCATTCAACAGCGGGAAGTTCTGGAGCAACAGCAGCGAGAAAGATATGATACAGACTTCTGTGGTACATGCATGTTCTGTGATAAAGAATTCACTGGAAACAGGTTAGTGTCAAACACTTTAATGTGTATTCCTTCTTTTAACCATCCAAACCCTATTGAACGCAGGCAAAGAACGGAGATCACAAAACTAATTGCACTATGGCTGCAGCAGTATTTGGTACCTAGGGGGGTGAATAAACATGTGGACAAGGGTGACCCAGTAGATGTCGTTTACCTAGACTTTCAGAAAGCTTTTGATAAAGCTCCTCATCAAAGGCTCCTAAGTAAACTCAGCAATCACAGGATAAGAGAACAAGTCCTCTTGTGAATTAAAAACAGGTTAATTAACAGGAAACATAGAGTAAGTATAGATGGGCAGTTTTCACAGTGGAAGGTGGTAAGCAGTGGAGTACTGCAGGGCTTGGTACTAAGTTCATTAATAATTAAGAGTTGGGAGTGAATTGGTCAAGTTTGTGGATAACACTAAGTTTTTCAGGGTGGTGAAAACCAGGGAGGACTGTGAGGCGCTCTGGAGGGATCTGTTGAGGCTGGATGAGTGGCCACTCAACATGGCAAATGAGGTTCAATGTGGGCAAGTGCAATGTAATGCACATTGGAGCCAGAAATCCTAACTATAAATATAGGTTGATGGGGTCCAAACTGGCGGTAACTGACCAGGAGAGAGATCTTGGAGTTGTGGCAGATAACTCACTAAAGATGTCGACTCAGTGTGCAACTGCAATAAAAAAGGCAAATGCTATGCTGGGGATTATTAGGAAGGAGACTGAAAACAAATCAGTCAGTATCATAATCCCCCTGTATAAATCTATTATGTGGCCCCATTGGGAATACTGTGTACATTTCTGGTCACCACACTTCAAAAAAATAGCAATGGAGAAGGTGCAGAAAAGGGCAACTGAAATGATTTAGGGGATAGAACACCTTCCCTATGAAGAGGTTAAAGAGGTTAGGGCTCTTTAGCTTAGAGAAACAACAATTGAGGAGTGACATGACAGAGGTTTACAAAATTATGCATGAGATAGAGAAGGAAGAGAAATTAGTACTTTTCTCCCTTTCTCACAATACAAGAACTCGTAGGCACTCAATGAAATTAATGAGCAGTAGGTTTAGAAAGGAAGTACTTCTTCACCCAAAGAGTAATTCACACATGGAATTCACTGCCGCAGGAAGTTCTGGCAGCTACAAGCATAGACAGCTTCAAGAGGAGATTGGATAAACATATGAAGCAGAGGTCCATCAGTGGCTATTAGTCACAGGGTATAGATGGAACGCTATGTCTGGGACAATGATGCAGTGTATTCTTGATGCTTGGGGGGCAACAGTGGGAGAGCTTCTGGAGTTCTGGCCCTGCTGGTAGACTTTCTGATGGCACCTGGGTTTTGGCCACTGTGTGACACAGAATGTTGGACTGGATGGGCCTTTGGCCTGATCCAACATGGTTTCTCTTATGTAAGTGGGGTATATGTTTTACTGCCTGTTAGTTCAGTGCCATCTGATCATATATGATGCTGGAACTGTGCTGCCATAGCCAGATTTTCAGATTCTGTATAGACCCAGTGTCTAAATAGCTGTAAGCCTGAATTGGTGAATAAGAATTTCCTCCAATTGATCAGACTGGTTTGTTAAAGCTGATTTTGTTCGTTTTCATTTTAGACAATAAATAACTGAGGTATGTGTAGGTACTTGGACTTGTCAGTGGATTGGATCATGTAGAGGACTTCCACTGACGGTGTGTGTGTGTGTGTGTGTGTGTGAATTTTGCCTGTTCTTTCCTCTCACTGCAGACTCCCCATTCATGCTGTTCTTGAGGGTCCCCTGTCCCTTAGGAGCAGCATTTCACAAGGCATTTGGGAGAGAGGGAGGCAAGGAAGGCACGCTCTCCTGCCAGAAATCCTTCCTGCCAGTGGAAATTTTGGCAGAACCCAAGCCAGTGTTTGAATGGACTGCTAACTTTTATTGGCAAGACTGGTCAGCAATGGCTTTTTGTGCTTCCCCCATTTCCCCTACTCAGTTCTGTGTCACATAGTAGCTTTGCGTGATGCTAGTATTGGGTATCTGTCAGTCGTAGCTCTTGTTTCCATAGCAATGCTGACCAATGCTGCATTGCTGTTAGCAAAGCTCATGAGTCGGCTTGTGATGCCAGTGCAGCTCCACAGGTCATGATGTGCTAGTGCAATGGTCAATGCCCCCATCATAGACTCTTACTAGCCACCCGAACCTCAAGTGTTAAAAAAATATTTGAATCCGTTTTAGCTTGGACAGTTTTCAGGGCACTTGTGAACCTCAGATAAGACTGAAGGGAAAGGAAGCTTCATTAACCATTACATCCTGTGCCAAAATTAGCTATTGGAAGGCATTGTTGCAGTAACTGTGATACTTAGAAAAGGGGATGTCGCACCAATTGTTCTGCATTGAATTTAATCACTATTTGCTTAAATCAGCCCTTTCCCCACAGGAGCTCAGAGCAGCATATCTCTCCTTCCCCACCCCCAACCTGTTTAGTGTGATTAGGCTGCAAAATGGTGACCTGTCAAGTGGAGCAGAAACTTGAACCTGCTTCTCCTTACTCTGAGCTCAACATTCAGTCCATTATGCTACCTGTAGAAATGTCTAATTACTTAGTTAAAGATAAAAATATCTATCTGATTACCCTGCTAGGAAAGTGAAAGTTATGTATGGCAATGACATAAAAAGAGAACCATAGCCCTTTTCAGTAATTATATTTTAGCACACAAATGGGGAGAATGCACACTACACACGATCTTCCCAATATATGCAATTGCCATTGTATCTGAAAGGGGAAAATCTCAATTTTCAGCTATGGTACATGTAAATTGGAATAATGGATTCTGGAACATGTGTACCAAGGCTGTCATTACATACATTGCCCCTTTCAGACAAAAATGGCAAGCAGGCATATCAGGATACACTTGATGAAACTGAACAACTGAAAAAAAGCTCCTATGCCTATGGTATTCTGCAAGCAACATTTGTAAGTTACCGTATGTATATATCCCTGTACTTTAAAGCTCGAAGTGTGTGATGTTCTGGAAATTAATTAGTTTTAAAGTGACTAGGGGGAGGGGAGTCTCCCCTGCCCTGTTTAATAATAAGTGATTATTTTTCAGAATCATATATATAGATATAGATATTTCTAGTCAGTTCATTGGTTCTACAGTATTGTACTTAAGCCTAAAATGCATTTGTGTATACCATAAGTACAAAAGTGCCTTTTGTCTTGTGTTGTGAACATTGCAATAGTCTTATAAGGTGTGTGTGTGTATCATACCCTTGCTGAAAGCTAAAATGGTGCTCTTAGTGAGTAATGACAATATTGGTAAAAACTGCTAGTTAATCTTGGTTTTAGGCATACAGGCAAACTAGTGAAAAGCTACTGAAATGGCAATAAGGGTGAAATTTAAATTTTCCACTTCAGTTACACAAAACACTTTTGCTGCTAGCAAAGCAAACATTGCTATGACTTATTCATTGTTGGTTTTATAGGGCTGAAATTCAAATTTTCTGCTTCAGTTTAATGCAAGTACATTTAGATATGTTAAGCTTTCTTCTTGTGGTCTCCATCATACGCTGAGCTTTCTTCTTGCGGTCTGCATCATATGTTGCGCTTTCTTCTTGTGGTATCCATCATGAAGCCCATTTGCAAAGGAAAATCCATTTATTTGTAACCATGTTCCTTTATTTAAAGTACCAGCAGTACCCCCCCAAAGTGTTTTTGCAAAACTTCCTTAATAGAACTCTAAGGAGTGTATCTAATCTTTTATAGGTCAGTCCTTCTCAATCACATGGCAAATGATCATGCATTCAATATTGGGCTGCCAGACAACATTGTAAACTGGAAGGAGTTTTTCGGTGTTTTACAGAAGAAAATTGACAGGTATGTTCAGAAATAGGTTTATAGCTTGCTAAATCAAGTACTTGTGGCTCCATGGTCAGGGGTCCTTTTTGCATTAAAAAAATAGAGGGAGGAGAGAAGAGGCTGGGGGGAATTTTTGAGAACGTGAAAGGAAAAGAGACTTGGATTGAGGAGAAAATGTATGAAAGGGTAAGTGGAAAGTATTATCCTGGTGCTGTGAAGCCTAAGTTTGGCCTTGTTCAAGCCAGATCTTGGACAAAATGGATGTCATCTGAAAGAGAAGTGCTGTGAAGAAAAGAGGCAGCTACCTTGTTGCCTTCTCCCCACTGCTGTGTTAGTTATACAAAGCTTTTTATTTCTGTTGTGCATGGAAGAATTCAAATTGTAAATGAAAATCTCATTTCAAATTGGTTTGGAATCTACCAATTTATCTACTCTGAGTTGGTGTGTTATTGTCTGCTCTTAGGAAATGTGGAAACAACAGGGCAAAAACACTGTACACTTACTTAGGGAGCTCTAGAATCATTGCTCTTCACACATATCATCTCAAAGCCCAGGTCCCATAACTCTCCCATATGAGGAGGAGGATTGCAAAGGTTTGAGTGTTGTAGTTCACTGGATCATTTTCTGAATGTCTTTCCCATCAATCAGAATGGAAAAGATGCAGCTTTGAAGGAAGTGAATGTAAAACTGCCTTATACTAAGAACAAAGTTTGAGTCCAAAGGCACCTTTAAGACCAACAACGTTTTATTCTAGATATAAGGTTTCATGTGCATGCACACTTCTTTAGATACACTGAAACAGAAGTCCCCAACCATTACACATAGGTAGAGTGGGGAGAGGAGGGTGGGGAGAGTGCTGCCAAGAATGTCTGATTAGAGTCAAGATGCTTAAGTAATTGAGCAATAAATATAGCTAACACTGGGTGAAGGCAATTGGTAAGACCTGTGAATAGCAGCAAATGAGCATACAGCATAATAAAAGAGTTTACAAACAGATGCAAGAACTGAATGACATTAGCTTGTGTAGTGAGATAAGAAACCAATATTTCTGTTAAGCCCTGAGAGTTCCATTGTACTGAGTATTGTAATAACTTGTAACTCAGCAATCTCCCATTCTAGTCTGTTTCGGAAATTCCTTTGCAATAAAACTGCTACTTTGGGTCCCCCATTGAATGTCCTAGAAGTTGAAGTGTTCTCCTACATGTTTCTCAGTGTCCATGTTCAAATTAAATGTTAACGTCATTCAGTTCTCGCATCTGTTTGTAAATTCTTTTATTATGCTGTATGCTCATTTGCTGCTATCCACAGGTCTTACCAATTGTCATCCAGTCTTAACTATATTTAGTGTTACTTATGCATCTTGACTCTAATCAGACATTCTTGGGAACACTCTCCCCACCCGCTACCTATGTGTAATGGTTGGGGACTTCTGTTTCACTGTATCTGAATAAGTGTGCATGCACACAAAAGCTTATACCCAGAATAAAACTTTCTTGGCCTTAAAGGTGCCACTGGACTGAAACTTTGTTCTGTTGACTCATACCAACATGGCTACCCACCTAAATCTGCTTTGTACTGTCAGGCCTTGGTTTATCTAGCCAAATAGTGAAATGCTCACTGAACCTGAGTTTTTCAATTTGGGGGACAGTTTCTGAACTATCAGAGGTCTCTCTGGGAATGTGAATGCAGAGAACATTTTCTGTTGTGAAGGAGTGTGTGCAGGCTGGATAAAAAGTAACACTTTTTATTTACTAATACAGTATGCCCACATTTTAGTGGTATACTATAAATGCAATTCGGTTAGATTTATGTTTGAATCTTTATAGTGCCTCAAACCATCCTGTGACCTGGCAATGAAATCAGATTTATAGTGGAGTCTCTTCAAGAGCTGCTGTGTTAATGCCAGCCAGGGAGACACTGCCCAAAGGAATCTCCAGCATGAATTAATGAGACTCTTGATATTCTTTCACACTGTAATACTTACGTAATAAGCATCATTTTAAGTAACATTCTACACGTTAAGCAAGCTACTTCTCAGAATTCAAGGTCATTCCTATCCCAGTACTACATGATGCCAGGAGCAAAAGTTCAGCCATTTGCCTATAAGGCTGGTAGCAGATTTCTGCTTTGAAATAAGGATTTCTTTTAAATAATATATAACCATTGCTTGGGTATTTTATAATGGGTGGTAGTATATTTTGCTTTGTGGGCTTAGATGATACAAAATTTCCTTGAGGTAATTATTTATTATGATATCAAATAATGGGCAAGGATACAGTACAAAAAATAGTGGCAAAATAATTACATCCATGTAGATCAGATACTTCAAAACTCCTGAATTCTACACATCCAATCAATAACAATGTAAATTTATCTGGTTTTACATAAATACTGTCAATTTGTTTTTTCCCCTTTAGTTTATGTTTGGTCTCTCTACTGCACCTTAAAGAATATATATACCTAAAATGCTTACCTATTTTCATTGTTGTTGTTTTTAGAGTTCACTAATTGTTCAGTCTTGCTAGATATCGCATCATATTTATTATTATTATTATTATTATTATTATTATTATTATTATTATTATTATTATTATTATTTTGATATGTCTCTTAAAGTGAAATAGGAAACAGAGAGTGAGTATAAATGGGCAATTTTCTCAGTGGAGAGTGGTAAGCAGTGGGGTACCGCAGGGATCAGTACTGGGTCTGATGCTTTTTAACTTGTTTATTAATGATTTGGAGTTGGGAGTAAGCAGTGAAGTGGCTAAATTTGCAGATGACACAAAGTTGTTGAGGGTAGTGAAAACCAGGGAGGATTGTGAGGCACTCCAAAGGGATCTGTCAGTGATGGGCGAGTGGCAGTCAGCATGGCAAATGGGGTTTAGTGTGGCTAAGTGCAAAGTGATGCACATTGGGACCAAAAACCCTCCTAACTATAAATACACGTTGATGGGGTCTGAACTGGCAGAGACTGACCGAGAGAGATCTTGGAGTCGTAGTAGATAGATAACACACTGAAAATGTCAAGAGAGTGTGTGACTGCAATAAAAAAGGCCAACTCTATGGTGGGGATTATTAGGAAAGGAACAAAACAAATCAGCCAGTACCATAAATCGATGGGTCAACCTCATTTGGAGTACTGTGTGCAGTTCTGGTCACCACACCTCAGAAAGGATATTATAGCATTGGAAAAAGTGCAGAAAAGGGCAACTAGAATGATAAAAGTGCTGGAACCCTTTCTCTATGAAGAAAGGTTAAAGCGCTTGGGGCTCTTTAGCTTGGAGAAATGTCGACTGAGGGGTGACATGATCAAGGTTTACAAGATTATGCATGGGCTAGAGGAGGTAGAGAAAGAAGTACTTTTCTTCCTTTCTCACAATCCAAGAACTTGTGGGCACTCAATGAAATTGATGAGCAGTCGGGTTAGAACAGATAAAAGAGTGATTAACACATGGAATTCACTGCCACAGGAGGTGTTGGTGGCTAGAAGCATGGACGGCTTCAAGAGGGAATTGGTAAACATATGGAGCAGAGGTCCATCAGTGGCTATTAGCCACAAGGTATAGATAGGAACTCTTGGTCTGGGGCAAGTGATGCTCTATATTCTTGGTGCTTGGGGGGGGGGCAACAGTGGAAGGGCTTCCAGTGTCCTGGCCCCACTGATGGGCCTCCTGATGGCACCTGGTATTTTTGGTCACTGTGTGACAATGTTAGACTGGATGGGCCATTGGCCTGATCCAACTTTAGCTTCTCTTTTGTTCTTATGTTCTTAACTGCTGTCATTAGAGTTGCTGTAAATAATTGAATGGGTACTTACAGTATTGTCCCTATAATCTTTTGTAATCTTTGTATTTTATCTTAGTTTGCAGTGTTTATACTGTGAAAAAATCTTTCGAGATAAGAACACACTCAAAGATCACATGAGAAAGAAGCAACATCGCAAAATCAATGCCAAAAACAAAGAATATGACAGATTTTATATTATTAATTACCTGGTAAGATGCTCTGTACATTAATTATGGACGAATGAATTGCAGACGTCTAGTTGGATCTTACCAGCCTTTTCAGTCAATCTTGCCTCATCCCCTTCATCATAGCAGCACTCCTTTAGAGGGGTTATGCATACTGGGCCACTATTGCAGGTGCACCAGGGGTATCCCTTTGGCCTAACAGTACATTTTATTTAATACTAGCTGCCACTTTGGTGTGGGCAGGTAGGCTTGATTCTAAATAGTACTGTTGTGATTAGAAAAAGTGGATCCAATGGAATCCAGAAGCGGCAATTGCAGCTCTTCTCACTCCTACAGCAATATGACAAGACACGCCTACTACGTAACTGCTAAATATACCCTACGTAGAGTTACACCCTTTTAAGCCCATTGAAGTCACTGTGCATAAAATGATGTAACTCTCCGTAGGACTGCAGTACATAAGACAGTGTGGAACTGACTTTCCTGAGGCAGACAAGCAGCTCTGAACTTTATTAGTTTCTCAGCCACTGTTAAAATTCTTCCTTCCTCTTCCACTGAATGCAGACTGACATAATAGAAAAGACAGATGTGTAACGTTTAACATGCATTATTACACACCCTGAAGCATTCAGAGTCACGAACCAGGTCTTGAAAACCACATAAGATTTTCCAAACATTGTATTTTGTCTTCTATTGCCCTATAACAGTAAGTTTTATTATGAAATAAAATATTGTAAAATATCAGTGGGAAAATGTCTGTGATACTGTGATATCACAAACATTGGCTGTACAATTTCTAGCATTGCCAGTTTTCGACAATGTGGCGCCATGCAATGCTTAGTCACTTGTAAGGTGTGAGGTTTGTGTATCAGCTTGTTTTGAGGTAGCTTTGTCCATGTCACAGTTTCAGTGACCTGCCTAATGGTCTTTGTCCTTCCAAAACCCAGAGACCAGCTTTAACCCCCAAGGTGGCAGTATGGGACCCATAAAGCTGTATGTCTTGGACCTATTGAGCTACATAATCATATGACAAGAACAAGGGGAACCAGAGTTGTGACCTCACTGGTGTCAAGGCCTGGGTAATGAGAAGCAGACTAATAAAGCTGAGGAGAGGTAATACAAGCTGAGCACCAGGAGGTATACCGTTGTGAAGAATAAGCCAACAATTAGAGCCATGGATATATCCTTTCCACTGCGGAATGACCTCACCTTACCAATCTGCTGACCTTCTCAGTTGGCATGCAAAGAGCAACCAGAGGTGTCAGGCCCTCACTATGCTTGCAGAGTAGCAGCATCTCCTCCCAAAATGCGACAAAATGGTGGCTTGTGACCTAGCAGGTAGGGCTCCATGACCCTGTGGGCTGACGACCACTATAACTTAGATACTTCAAGGGCCAATTTATAAGCCGCTTAAGTGTGTTTTATCTGCTTTATGGGTTACAGATGTGATCTTCAGGCTTACATGTCCTCATCCATTTTGAGTATAACCTGTAAAAAGAACCAGAATCTGTGCATAAGAACAGAAACACTTAATAGTTGTGGGCTACCCTACTCCAGTTGCTATACCTCCCCTTGAGCATTTTAATATAAGGGTACTTTCTTTGGAAATGATGCTGCCTTTTTTTCTGCCTATGCACTATGCCATGCTTGCGTCACTAGTAGGGTTGCAACATCCAGGTGGTGGGCGGAGATCTGCCATTACAGCTGATCTCCAGGTGACAGAGATCAGTTCATCTGGAGAAAATGGCCACTTCGGAAGGTTTGACTCTATGGCATTATAGTCCCTCTCCTGATCAAACCCCGCCCTCCTCAAACTCCACCCCCAAAACCTCCAGATATTTCTCAACCCGGAGCTGGCAGCCCTAATCATCAGCCTCATGTGCCAGAACATGCATGTGGTGTGGAAGAATGTAAGGCCTTTAGGCTCACTCCAGCATTCCATCAGATGGATGATCTAGGCTACTTGTACTGGAGGTCAGACTCTCAGTTCCAGCAGAGGCAAGACCTAGTCATGGAAGTCTTAGGGATGTAATCCACCTGCTTTTTAATTTATTGGCAAAATACCCATTGGTGTTAATGTACCTGGACAGTACTTGCAGAATTCATGAAATCACTATAAAACACCCCAAAGAAGCTTCTGTTATTTTAAACTTGTGAATAACTCAATAGCATTACAGTATAAGTGAAGAGAACTCTGTGTGTGTGTGCACGCATGCGCCTTTTTTCAGAGTTAGGGTTTTTTTACTACAGACTAACAGCTAATTTGCTGGAAGCCACTGTTTCTGTAGGAAACCGGTTGATACACTTGATGGAATGTGTAGCAAGAGGGGTGTTAACTGCCTTGCATTATCTCACTATCCTGGCAAAGTTAATTAATCTTGGTGTAGTTGAAGAGTTTACACCCGAGAGGGTAACATCTCTCTGAATTAATGGCAGGATTTTCATTCCGTAATCTGTAATGACATGTTGTTATGGGCCGTGCTAGTAATGTACATTGGTACACCATTTACCGGGCAATTTGAAACAGCTTTGAAACCTCTGATTACTGTATATAATAGACTTCTAAATTTTTCTTGCTTGTCATACAACACTGCTTTCAGAAGTAGCATCTTATATTTGTCACTCTGCACGTTGCAGTGCGTCACAATTTAATTGTCCTCCAGCTTTTGATTTGGTGGGGGTTTTTTTGTAAAAAGTAAGGACACAGACAGGTATGTTAACATGACTGATAATTTTTATCAAGTGTCTCGTAAAGTAATAGCTTATACTATAGTAAAGCTTTGAAGAAATATGATGCTTAGTTACTGGAGCAGCCAACTGTTATTTTATTTTAAGAAATCATTGTTTATTTTAAAAAGATGTCCCCTTTATTCCAGAATAAACCAGTTCCTTCAAACATAACTGGTGTTTTGTTTTCTTCACAATCTGACATTGCCTGAAGACTATGTAAGAAATAATCTTATCTTTGATCAGGCCAATCCAGAGCCACATCTCAGCAGGTAGTCAGAACATCAAAGGAGTCCAACCTAATGCTGGATTTTATACTGAGACTTGCACTCAGTTAAAAACTTGGTAGGCACAACAGCAGTGTCCTACATTTGAATCCTTGTTGGCCAGGGAAATTGCAAAGTTGGGTATCTTCCAGCTCTTTTAAAATAAGTGTAGACTTTCCTGTTTGTTTTATTTCATTTATTTTTTAAAACTGTACCACCAGATCATCCAATTCAAACTGTTGTGGTGACTTGCATCTGCAAATGAATTTTTTTTTTTAATCGATCAGTTGCTTGGTCCCATATTCACTTGTAATGTCAGTCTCTGCTTTGAAATCTGGTTTTCCTAGAAACAGCGTGCAATGTAAACTAAGACAGAAAGCAACTCTTCAAGTTTATGTATAAAAACAGTGGCAGGGTGTGATGGACAAGTAAATGGTTAATGTTATAACCTGGTCTGAGAACCCTGAGTGAAAGGAAATTCAGACGGAAATCTTGAGAACTTCTCAGTAGACCGAAGACTCTATATAATTTGCTCACTGCATGAAGGAGACTTCCTAAAAGTAAGATGCAGTCCTCAAGGCCATCTCTCCAATAAGATCCCAGTTAACAAAGGAATTAAGCAGGGCTGCATCTTGGCCCCTCTACTTTTTAACTACTATATTAACTCCTTGGCGCAGCACCTAAGAAATCCAAGCTTCCATTCTCCAAAGCTTGCTGATAAAACGATACCTTCCTTACTGTACACAGACGATACTGTCATTCTATCTTGTTCACATGTGGGCCTTAGGAGAGCACTCCGTGCCTTCACCACATACTGTAAAGAGGAGCAGCTTGAAATAAACTACCAAAAAACAAAAGTCCTCATCTTTACTGAAAAACATTGACTCCATAGATGACGTGTAGAGGGCCACAACAATGAACAAACAAAAATCTTTAAATATCTTGGTATAGTCTTCCAGTTGTCTGGACACTGGAAAACTCATGCACTGAATGCCACAGAGACTGCCCACAGAGCATCCTCTGCCATTCAAAGATTCTCAAGGCTTCACAAAAGAAGCCTCCTTTATCCCTGCAGCAATCAAGGTCTTCCAAGGAAAGATTGTCACCCATCTCTTATATGGCTCCCAGCTCTGTATTTACAAAGAAAGGAGCTCACTGGAAGTAGTACAACCCAAGTTCCTACGAACAATCCTTTGAGTCCTATGATGTATTCCGAATGCCCTTCTCAGACTAGAGGCTTGTCTGATCCCCTTGGAGACTCATATGTGGCTACTGGCATCTACCTATTGGTTGAAACTCATCTTCAATCTGGTGGGTCTAGTACCCTTGATCCTTGCTGATAGTCACCGTTCCCTAATTTTGTTCCCTAATTTGTTTCCCTTGGAACTGACAGGTATGTATTAAATTAACAGGCACACAGGAAACCTTCATCGGGGGAAACTGCATCTTTGTAGATTGTATAAGTCTTTCACATGAGGAAGCAATATTATAACAATGTCCTTGATCTTATCAGGAAATTTTAAATGGCTTTAAATCTAAGAGTACTTATTTGGTCCTGATGTAAAGCAAGGCATTTTTTTTGTCCTCATCCCCCTTCAGGAATTTGGAAAATCTTGGGAAGAAGTTCAATCTGAAGACGATCGGGAACTCTTAGACAACCAAGAAGAGTAATAATTTTGTTTCTCTTTTTAACCAACAGCAGTGTTTGGGAAGTGGGAAATCTACCCTACGTGCTTGGTACATGGGACTGGAAAACATTCTGCTTAGTTCATTTCCCCTTCCCCTTGCAAAGGTTCCATAGAAATTGTATGAATTTAGTTAGATATTTATACCCCACTTTTCTCCCTAATGAGGATCCAGTGCAGCTTACAAGAGCGTTCTCCTCTTCTCCATTTTATTCCCACAACAACAACCCCATGAGGTAAGTTGGGTTGAGAGAGAGCAACTCACCCAAGTCCAACACTGTAACCACAGAAGTGCAAGTTCAGGAAGATTCCTATTGCCTCACACATCGTATTCTCAGTGTAGTGGCAGTAGTGACTGAGTGTGGTGTTTCTTCCATATGCCTCAATACAGGAGGCTTAGGGACAGGGATCTCCTTAGGTCCCAGGGAAGGGGAGTGCTATAAAACTGGTGAACTTTCACAAATCTGCACTGTCCCAGCTTTGAACTCTAAAGAGGTTTGGGAAGAATTATTTTTGTATTTTACAGGCATGCTTATAATTATACTGTCATTCCACATCAGTCTCATAAGAAATTAACAAACACACACGTACACACATCCCAACAGAATATATTTTTCACGGCTATTTATACAAGTACTATTTTGCTTGTTGCAACACTTTCATCTTTTTTCTTGTTAGATTTCTCTTCAAGTAATCCCAGCCATCTTGTCAACACATAATAACATGACAGTGCTACTTAGCATATCAGATATGCCTACATCCTCACTTTGTCAAGGACAAATGAAACCCATTTGGATTAAGGGCAGTACTTCCTTTATTGGTCGTATGGGCCATCATATAGCCTATCAGGGATCTCTTTAATAATCAAAACCTTTCACAGCAACCCAAAAAAAAATTGCTGAAAGGGGGCCCCTCTGTCTGCATCTGAAGATTTATATGAAACAGTTCCTCCCCCATTTCAGTTTAGTTTCCAAGACAAAAGAACAATGTTTTCCTTTAACTGAATGCACCATAGACCTACACAAATATGGTTCCATTTAAAACCAAGCAGGCTAATCCCCATTTAATGTTTGATAAATTAAATAGGTATTCTCACAACAACATTTTCTTTGTATCTTTCAAAAGCAGACCCTAAGGCGCAATTAAAATTGATGCATATTAATTGGTACATGCTTTTTTATAGAGACTGGTCCGATTGGGAAGAACATCCTGTCTGTGCAGTCTGCTTCTTTTGTGAGAAGCAAACAGACACTACAGAAAAACTGTATGTTCATATGGAGGTAGGAGGCATGTACGCTATGATCTTGCTCTGGCAAATATGGAGGGTAGATCCTTGGTTGCATTAGGAGGCTCTGTTCTAGTACGAGGCATTTTCACCACACAGTAAATCCATAGTAGTTTGTGACCAGACAATAAACTCACATTCATTTTTGCTCAGTCCCTCGTGATGCTAACCACGATGGCCGATTGACTGTTATGCTGGAGATGTGAACATATTTTAGAAAGTGTAGCCCATCTGATATGGGAATGTCCTGTAGCAATCTTGAGGGGGGCATGTCACAAAGTAGACAAAGTAGTCTCTTTTTTGGAGATTTCAATTGCCTTGTCAACACAAAAACTTGGGGATATATTCCAGGGAAGACCAATGGATCCCAGGAGCTGCCCTTTTGGCAGAAATAACTAATCTCACAAAATTGGAGAAATCCTTCACCACTGGGAACATTTTGAGGGGGCACTTAAATTGCACAGCCATGAACATATAGCTTTTAGAAACAGCCATACTAAAACCTAGAAGCAAGATATATGAGCTGTCTTTATAGAAATGAATGTGTGAAGGAACACTGTTTATATATACTTTTGAGAGCTGCTGAGCTCTTGATTCTTCAGAAAGAAATTAAGTCATTAGAGAGAGGTGTGTCACTTTCATTCAAAAGCATATAATGCTATTCCCACTTCCCCTCCCCCTTGGATCTCTGCTGATATCACCCTAATTTGCCCTGCTGACCATATTTGTTCATCCCCCTCTGCATCCTTTGTTGCACCTTTTATGCCACCTTCAACCAGCTTTTTGTGGTGAAATATTGGGATGCATGCTATGTTTAATTTTAAAATCCTGTTATGCAAAAATTAATTTTCAAAAACTTATAAGAGTATAGAGAAGCTAGGTAGTGAGGCTGTTATTTTCTACCATTAACAGACTTGCAGACCTTCTATTTACAGTAAGGTGGCTAGGGCTTATTGACAGGACATCCCTTTTGGATACAGAAGGCCCTCAATTAAGTTCCTGGTGTCCCCAGTTTATAGTTCTCAAGGAACAGGACTGAGAAAGATCTCAGGGTAAATAGTACTGGACTAGGTAAACTGACTAGTTTGGAGCCCTCAAGAGTGCTTCCAGTGATGGAAGGATTTCTTTCAGCAGGGGCACAACTTTGTCACTGCCACCATTCTGCTGCAGCCCAAAATGTTCTCTTGAAATATTTTTTTGGGGGAGGGGTTGGGGCTGCACTGGGAAGGGGAAGGTGAGAAGTGACTCTCTGTGAGCACATAAGTTTCTATTCCTCCTCTACACACAGTGTCTATATATGTAATTTTGCATAGGCCCCCAATATTGGACTGTGTCCAGTATTTATAAAACTCAGTTGATGTTCATTTGAAAAATCATAAGTTTTTGTAATTAGAATCTTTTTTCCCCCCCTTAACCATAGGAGGCTCATGGATTTGACCTGCTAAAAATAAAGTCTGACTATGGTAAGTAAAACTTAGACTACATCCGTCACTGTTGGAAATGTAGCTTGATTGAACTAGAGAGCCATAAAGCAACCTACAGGACTCTGAATTTTTTTACTTTATTCAACTTTTGTAGCAATTGTGACCTCTGTGGAATGTCAAAATATAGTACCAGCTGGTTCCAATGTTTGTCATGAAGCCACTGTAGTAGGGGAAATTTGAAGTTCCATTTCCTCTATAAATCTTGAATGTTTCCTTTAGATTGCCTCTGCAGGTTGTCTCTGTGGAAATCATGCCATCATTCTATATGAGATAAAATAAAAGTCCTTTTAGGTCTCTTTTCCAGCATAATAGTGATTAAAAATAACATATCACATGTTACTACTTAGCTGTGTGTTTGAGCAGCCTTTGTTTTTTTAAATAAGCTGTATCAGAGGATACCGTTATGTTCAGCTAGAGAACTAACCTGCAGTTGTGGATAGGCACTCTGCCCCATTCCTGGCTCCATCATGAGACAAGAGGAGGTGGTGACCTCTCTACTGCCTTGTCTCCACCCCCATCTTGCCCCCTTTACTTTTTTCTATCCACGAGCCAGTGCAGTTGTTTATTTCCTCACAGGAGTGACTAGGGCTGCGAGCAGGCCCTTTAACAGCGGTTGAATGTGTGGAAAAGTGCAGCTGAAGCTTTTCATTGTATGGAGCTAAATAACCACCTGATAAAGAACATCCTTTACAACTCTCTTAAAAGGACAGGACATTTTTTGTTCAGGTAGTTGGCAACCCCACACCAGTTTGCTGTAGTGGTTAAGTGCATGGACTCTAATCTGGGAGAATCAGGTTTGATTCCTTGCTCCTCCACTTGCAGCTGCTGGATGACCTTGGGCAAGCCATAATTCTGTGAGAGCTGTTCTCTCAAGGACAGTTCTGGAAAGAGCTCTCTCAGCCCTACCTACCTCACCAGGGGTTCTGTTGTGGGGGAGGGGAAGGGAAAGGAGTTTGTAAGCCACTCTGAGACTCCAAGTGAAGGGTGGTATATAAATCCAATCTCTTATCTTCATCTCTATGCATCAGTAAAGAGTGTGGCAAGCCACATGTGCCACAATGAGTTTCTCAAACTCTCACCCTTGGAAGACTCATAGAGAACCAGGAGGGAAGAAGTGTTAGCTGTGAAAAAAGAACAGAAACGGGCACAGTGAGAAACAGAAGCAATGGTAGGGAGGTGGCTGCAAGAGGTGGTGGAGGAGGGCTGTGGATTCATATGTTGGGAATTCTGTTTTTATGGAGCTCCTGGACTTGTTTGTTTTTAAACTCACCAAGTACCCGATTTGGATTGGGACCATGACTCACATGAGACTTAATCCTTCCCCTCCCCTGCACTGTTTACCCAGTCACAAACAGCCTCTGAGGAGTGTCATTTACCCTGTTGTGATAATTCAAATGTTTATACCATGTTTTCAAAATGGGGCAAATGGTGTTCTTCCAGGGTCATTTGTAATCAAGAAAATAGCACACAGGAGAAAGATTTAAAAGCCTTCTGTATGCCTCCTGGGTTTCAAAGAATTCTGGGAACTTCGCACACAGAACTCCCAATGTACCATGTCGTTAGGCCCTGAGACGGTGCCGCTTGCTGAGTCCCAGTTGCTCAGCTTACAGTTTTCATATTCATAGGTTTTGTGTTTCCCAATTTATTTATTTTCCTTAAACTGTTTGTTGGCTAGGTTTGAATTTCTATCAGCAAGTGAAATTAGTGAACTTTATCAGAAGGGAAGTCCACCAGGGTCGATGTTACAGTTGCCAGAACACATTCCAGTCAAAAAAAGAATTGACCAGTCATATGGAAGAGACCAAACACATCACATTTTTGCCAGACAGATCCATCTGGGATCAGCCACAGTAAGTCTGTGTATTTTTCATCAGCATTTTGGTCCATCTAGCACATTTATACTGCCCTTCCTCCAAGGACCTCTGGGAGTCAATACATGATAGTTACTAATAACTATAACCTGGACTTTGTATTTTCTGACCTTGCTTTGCCACAATTTCTGATAGCCAAATGAAATTAAAAGGTTGGAGTACAGACTGTTGTGTTTGTTACACTTGTATAGGGTTTCATGCAGTGTGCCCATTAGTCATGGCATGGAACTTGCTGAGTTAGATCTCAATATAGCAAGAAAACTTAGCTGCCATGTACCCCACAGTCCTTTTGTTACATTATGGCTATGAGTGCTACATGACTGACCCAACCCCTATTGTAAACAATTCTGTGGTATGAGGCTCTGCCATCTACAGATCCATTACAAGCAACTGAGTAATCATTCCCAGCAGAATTCCTGAAAGACCTTGAAGTATTATTTATTTATTTATTTTTCGTATTTGTATCCCACCCATCCCGAAAGTGGGCTCAGGGCGGGTTACATCATCTTTCAACAATACAGTGAAGTTTAAAAGCACAGTATAAACACTTAAAATCAATAATTATAGCTACTGGTGAAAGTTCCGACCCATTAATAATTGAGAAGCTGATTGTGCACAGGTGGTCATTTAAGATTAGGGAAAATGGAAAATTCCATTATTTATTTAGTTAATTTATCTAAACATTTATACTTCACCACCACCCACAGAAGCTCATTCAAATTACTCTCTCTGGACTGAAGGGCTTCCACCTTGAACAGCATGGAAATTGCTGCCAGGGTTTCTAATTTTAATGTGCATTGATTATATGGTGTATGGAAGACTGTGGCCACACTTCTCTCTCTCTAATGAAAGAACTACTTCTCTGTGACATAATCTTATATTGCTGTGGAATCTGTGAGAATATTCCAAGTACGTGGGAGTGGCTGGTCGCCTGGGTCTTTTCCATGTGATTAGCTCCATGCCCATGGTTATAATATTCATACAACCATACAGCGTAGGATCTCGCTGCAGGAAAATGCGTTCCATGTGGGAAGACAGCATCTGATTGACCAGGTACTACAGTATTTTATTCCCTTCTGGTCTGCCTTTCAGATATTACTTTCCTACTTATGAAAATGATACTCTTCTCTGCACACTCTCAGATAGTGATGATGAATCGATGGCTGGGAAACGGAAAGAGGATGTGCCTGTCATTAGTGAGGATATTTCTAACATTGAGGCTCTGAAGCAAAGCAGCGTGTTAAACCAACTTCGAGAGGAGATGAATAATGGAGAGCCTTGATGTTAAGGAAATTGTGTTTCTTAATGTACGAGCAATTTGTCTTGCAGAGCAAAATCTGACTTGGTAACTTACTAGTGCAATATGAATTTGTGATGGTTGTAGACCAGCTTATTGAATGGGAAACTCAAATAAAATAAATAAGCATTTTAAACCACCTTGTAGTATTTTTACTGCTGCAGTTTTGTTCTTAAATGCTGAGTGATGGATACACAATTGGTTTACCTGTCAGAAGCACACCAACATGCAAGAAGCCTGCTAGATCAGACCAAAAATCCACTTAGCTCAGGATTCTACTCTCCACAGTTATCAACCCAGTACTCCAGAAAAGCTTGCAAGTAAAGCATGAAGCTTTCCCCAGCTGTTGTCCCTCAGGAGCTGGTACTCAATGACACATCATCTTAAAACAAGGAGGTTCCATTTTAGCTATCATGGCTGACAGCTGTTGATAAACTTAAAGTGCAATCCTAAGCAAACATCAGTGGGTTTAGAAGGGTGTAACTTGGTTTAGGATTGCATTGTCAAACTCTTTGAACTTTGTTCTGAAAAGCAGATACCCCAAAGTTCTTAAAGAACTCAAATGCAACATTGCCGATCTCCTAAGAAACCTATTTATTTATTTACTTCATTTGTTTCCCGTCTTTCTCCTCAGTGGGAACCAAAAGTGGCTTGCATTGTTTTCCTCTCTTCCATTTTATCCTCACAACAACTGCGTGAAGTAGGGCCAACTGAGGTTGTGTGATTGGCCCAAGGTCACCAAGCAAGCTTCTATGGGAGACTGGGGATTCAAAGTTGGGCTCCTAGATCCTAGTCCAACACTATGGCAACTATACCATATAAAATGTCCCTAAAACTGATCTTCTCTTTGGAGGAATGAATGAAAAGTAGCCAGGGCTTACTATGTCTATATTCTAATAAATGCTAAATGTCCCCAGCTACTACTTCTTGGCTTGGGGGCTTCTACTGTGAGCATATAAGCACCTACAAATGTCCCTCTCCTTTTGCTTGTTCGGTTTTACTTCATGATCCTTTGAAGTGCCTTAAATGGCTGTCAGTGCCAAGTTCTGTTTAGGGGTGTGCAAAAAAATATATATTAGGGTTAGTTCGGATTCGGATCCGTTGGACCTGAAAAATATCTGTACTCCTGAATATACCCGAATACCAGTATCGGTATTTCATAGGGTATAGTGGAGAATTTCATTCAGAGCTGCACTGTGGTGGAACTCTGCAAGCGAATACCTTCCCTATCCCTTCCCTCTTGGGCTCCTGCTGACTCTGTGGCACGACTCCCCAGTGAAGGGAAGGTATTTAAACTTTAAATACCTTCCCTTCCCTCTTGGGGTTCATGCCACAGAGGCGGCATGAGCCTGAGAGGGAAGAGAAGCTATTTAAAGTGTAAATACCTTCCCTTTGCTGGGGAGTCCTACGGCAGAGGCTGCAAAACTCCGCAAATAGCCGAGCCCAAATAAAAACCGAATAATATTGGCTTTTATTTGGGGGCAGCTACTTCAGTAGCCCAATACAGATCTCTGATATGTATTCAGTTGAATAAATACCCCCCAAATATCAATAAGGTTTTTGGGGGGTATTTATTCAGCTCAGTATATACCGAGTGCACACCCCTAGTTCTGTTTAGATGACCTAGAACATTTATGCAGTGCATCCAAAAGGGGGAGTCATCCCAAACCAGATGCTTTCCAGCTCCTGTTGACTTTCTTCAGATCTTACCTTGGAAGTCTGGTCCTTAATATCCTGTATAACAACCTAAATCTTTCTTCCAGGACTGCATGAACACTGATATGAGTGCCCACTACTACCAACTGCTCCACCCAGACTACCAACATTACTGGTAGTTAGATTATTGATGTTAAGATGAAAAAGATAATTTTTCACAGGAACATCTTCAATAAAGCAGTTCCTGAAATTCTGTGGGCATCTGGTACCAGATGCAGGGGACAGCCTTGCTACTTACCTATGTGTGTGTTGTTGCTTGGAACTGGATTCACAGTCTCCATTCAGGTTATGCTGTTGTTTAAAGTGAATTTTTTAAATTTAGAGGGGCAAAATTTACCTTGAGACTGGTGTTCCACACTGATACACTTCCTGGGACCAATTCATATGTCTGGTTGGCATCTTTACTCTCTTTGGATGCAGAAACTGCAAGCAGAACTGGTGACATGGTTCCTTCATGGCCAGCCAGCAAGAATCTGTTCTTTGTTGTGTGCTGGTCTGGTCAGTGAGATGGAACTTTGACCATCCAAAACTGCTGCCAGCTAGAGGAAATAAAAGAGTGTTAGGGAGGTTTCCAAGACAAGAGGTGATATTAGAGAAGATACTTTTGGGAAAAGCTGTAAAGAAAAGATTTCATAAGGTGGAGAGAGAAATGGCAAAAACAAGGGGTGCCTGTGGCCACCTAAAGCAATGAGACACAAAGGGTGCGTTCAGATGGGGCGTTTCAGCCGGCATACTGTACCGGTTGGAACCGGTGCAGTTTATGCCGGCTGAAACGCGATCACACTTACCTCCTGTCTGCGGAGCCCATCGCTGTATGCCCGTTCACACACAGCGGGCGTCGGCGGTTTGTTTGTTTTTAACAAAGTTTGCGCATGCGCATAGGCAGCCATCCACAGAATGGCGATCTTCACGCATGCGCAAAACACCCAGTCTTACATTTAAAGTTTAAAGGTAAGGACTTACCTTTAAAGTTTAAAGAGCAAAGTGGCCTCCCTGAGGTCCCGGACTCCTCTAAAAGTTAAACTAAGGACCTTTTTTAAAAAAAAAAACACACAAAACGCTGGGGCGAAGCTTTGCCCAAGCGCATACCGCCAACCTAAAAAAAATGGTGGGCGAAAATCGGAAGCGTTGGGCTTCCGAACGGAAGTGGCTCTACAACGTTGGAGAAGCGATCAGACGGGGGGTAAAGTGATTACAACCGTTACACTCAGGATACCACCACTTGGGGACCTAGTGGCAGAATACAACGGTTTAAAGGTTTTTGCAACGGTTAGGGATGGAAGGCAGATGTTCGCCGTGTGAACGCCGGTAAGTACACCGATTCCAACCGGCACCTATACCGTTGCAAATGCCCCATCTGAACGCACCCAATGAATGGCAGATGAGATGATTCAACAGCCTGAGAAACATTAAATACATACAGACATCTTGGACATTGTGACCGGCTGAATTAATAGGAGTACAGTCTTCTGTTGCCGACCTGATAACTGTCCTTGTATCAAATGTTTCATCCCATATTGTTTCCAAGGTTCTCCCCTCCTCCACTTTATTCTCAACAACGCTGCAAGGTAGCATAGGTTAAAAGAGACCCAGTGGGCCTCAGGGCTGAAAGAGAAGGTATTTAAGTCCAGGTCTCCCTAGTCATAGTCAGACACTGACAACTCTATCTCACAACTCTCACGCCTAACTAGTGAAATTGAATTTACTTAGGGAGTTTGGAATTGCCATAGCCCAGCTTTGGATGGATGTTTGGCAACAAATATGGTTTGTGAGTTCAGAGTTCATTTTTATCTTTCGAATTTAAGGTAGCAACTATGCACACCTTGTTCACCTTCCCCAAGGCCTGGATGGGCCATATCTCCTTGGTAACAAAGATTTTCATTTTGAAGTTGTGGAAGATGAAACATTCATATCCAATCCTGGCTAAATGGTTTGACATTCCTAATGAGAAAGGGAAAGATCATGTTTAATAAATGATACAATTGTGAAAAATTTGCCAGTGCTGTGCAGCTACTTCCCTCTACCCTTCCCCTTGTCTCATTTTGTTCTCTGCGGAGGATTGGCTCTTATTAGTAGAGAGGATGTAGGCTGTTAAATGTTACCTGGCAATAAAATCAGTACAAATGTGAAAAAAGATGGATGTGAATTTCTCCATGAGGCTGTAGCACACTCTTGCATAGTGAGATTGCAGGTGCCCAGAGCTCCAAAGAGAAATCCAGATCCAAAAACTCTTTTTATTAAAGATCCATCAAAATAGTGTGCAAACTTTGTGGAATTCTTCATTAGACGGTGCATTGAAAGGGGGTGGGGGGGGAGATATTTCAGGCTATGATGTTAACATCGCTTGTTGGCATCTTCTGAAGAACATGCTGCAAACAGCATCTCACAAATTGTACCTTAGGAATGTGCAAGCTAAAAATGCATTTCAGAGCTTGTTCTTGTTGCACCTCCACAATGTGGGGAAACTGCCAATTTGAATTTTCAGGAGCACACAGAAAACATGACAGGAAGTATCAAAATAGAATGTTTCAGAATGAATAGTGCCACCTTTTCAAAGCTGAAGCTGGCTTCATAACTCTTCTGCAGCATTAAAAAATAGATAAAATGCCTCTCGCTGCTGGGAAAGCGACAAGTGAGGGCTTTACAAAAAAGAGCAATGCTTCAGAAATCACCAAGAGGTCACCAGTACACTGGGAGCAATGCAGCTGCAAAGGCTGCCCTTCAGCAAGGAGTTTAGCTCTGTAGTTGAGCAGGTGGGTTAAGGGCTTTCACTCCCCATACCTATTGATGTGCTGTTCCATACAGCCTGTTCAAGGCTAAATATTGCTTAACACAAGAAGTACAAAGGCTTGTCTTCTGTGCATGAGAAGCACATCTGAAACAAGGTCTCGCTCATACAAAGGAATGTTTGCTCCATAATAATGCCCCTTTAAAAAGGCATTTGCTTAAACCAGGAAGAGAAGAAAGGAAATAGCAGCCCAATGCTGAGTCACTAACACAGAGTCTCTCTCCTCTGTACCACCCACGACCCTTTATGTTCTGCTGGTACTTATTTGAACAAACTGTGCCAGCATGGGTGGAGCGATGGACTTTGTTTCTCCATCGTATCTCTAAAATCTTTCCTATTCAGGACGTATGGTCATTCAAGTTTCTCTCCAAGACAAAAGAGCACTGCTTTAAATACAGTTCTGAATGTAGTCGTTGCTGTTCCCATTTCATGTAAAAAAGGAACACACAACTGCCTACAAATGTGTGGGCCTGATCATTCTGATATTGATGGAGCCCCCAAATTTTGGAAAGACTGCAAAAAATACTATCTGCTGTAGGGCTATCATTCACTGACTCTAAATTCTAGAACTGCAATTCTAGTGAAACTCGGTAGTTAAATATGAAAGTACCGGTCTCAGAGATTAGAA